GTCAAAAAAAATAGGAATGCTGTGTTAATATAATAACTGTGAAGAGACAGTGTTATATCACCTGTTTTGCTCATATTTTGTTGGAACATGCAAAAATTGTTGATGGACCTGTGTAAAAATAGGTTATGCCACAATAACTATCTTAAATGCTTTTTTAAAGTGATGATGGATTTTAACTTATGAGGTTGGTGCATTGTTGGTCTGTATAACAATTAAATCAAGTTTTAAATACAAATATCTACCAGTGAGTGCTTTCAACCTCATCACTGTTCCACAACTGGATGACTCTAACTGCAGTTAGCTTCATTCAAGATGGTTGCCTAAATTCTTTCGTTTTCGATAAACCTCCGATTTCAGCTAAACTAAGTTGAATCTTGATTCCAAAAGTTTCGCCATGCAAATTAATAAAACTATGATTGTATTCAACCACAAATGAATGCTCTAACACCCATAATATTAGAGAATTTTAAAGAAAACGACTTCACTTAGAATGACTCTAACTGAAGTTGATGATCTACGCCATCATGACGTCATCATCAACTTCAGTTAGAGTCATTCTAAGTGAAGCCGTTTTCTTTAAAATTCTCCAATATCGCGGTTGTTTGAGCATTTATTTGTGGTTATTTACCATCGTAGCTTTATTAATTTGCATGGCGAAACATTTGGAATCCAGATTCAACTTATTTTAGCCGAAATCGGAGGTTTATCGAAAACGAAATGATCTCGGCAACCATCTTGAATGAAGCTAACTGCAGTTAGAGTCATCCAGTTGTGGAACAGTGCTCATACTAAACAAATATTAACTCAAACTTCAAAATTTCCTTCGTTCACTATGGACTATTTGTTGTTCGACACTAACCAAGAAAGCTTCTCCACAGGTTTTCTGCATAATACAAAACTTAGGGTATAGATCAAAATCTAACAGCCTCTAGTCAAAATAATCAGAGGAAAACTATTTCTTTGATTCGGGAGGCTCCTATTAGAATTTCTGCATTATTGTTCATGTTAAGTTGGATTTTTGATTCCTTTTATTGATCTTTTATACTGTAAACTCTCCAATAACAATCCATATCTCATTATTATATGCTGTTACTTCATTTGGATGTTGCAAAAAGCTATTCATTTCAAGATTATTGCCTTACATGAAATTCCTTGGTATTTTTGACTTCTTTCATGGATGCTTATTAGAATGGTCTAAAGGATGTATTTTTTGAATTTTCTAAATGCCCCGTGCACTAATTAGAGAGAATCCGGTAGGTATTTTCCACATATATTTGCAGTACATGTATGAGTCTGGAACCATAGCCTATCAGTAAAATTATAGGAGATTCTCTGCTAAAGATACAGAAATCAAGCTTAACTATAACGAAATACATGTAGCTATTGCCTAATATGAGGAATGATATTTCTAATCCACCAATTTTTATAAGGCCCTTGGTGAAGAGTCAGTAAATTTCTTTCAAGGTTCAACTTCAGTATCATAATTATATACAAGTAAATGATTAGACTGGAATGAATTGAAGCAAGTTGTGACAATATTAGCCCATTTCAGCAAATAATATGTTATATGACCAGATAATAACATATTAACCAAGATATTAGATTTCCTCTTGTAGAAAATGTTCTCATCTTAGTTGTTGGTTCAGTATTCATATAACTCATACTCAATTTTCAAAACTCTTCTGATTATCTGAACTTAGTAGCTAGATATTCTGTCATCTCAGGTTCTATTGTACTTTTTAATAACATTCACAGAAATTAATTCCTTGTGAACTTGTGACATTTTAGTTATGGTCTTGGTATATTGTGGGTCTAAGGGAGGATATTAATAGGCTGCGTTTTGTATGCCCATGGTGCAAGTCAGTTGCGTAATATTTAAAGGTATATTCCTTGCTAGACCATCTCTCTCTTAATATGGTAACTATAACCATTATATTCTTTCCAAATTTAGCAAAATATGGAAGTTCAGTTCCATTGAGTTCAGTACAAATGTTTCGCTAGGTATGTAATATTTGATAATAGCTATCATATCAGGATAGAAATGGTCTGGCCAGTAATGTTCCTTTAATAAGATTTCTCCCTCGTTATCACGAAAAAGAACAACAAGCCCAGTGTTGCAATTTACATGGTCTTATGTTTTCAACAAAAACACTAAAACAGCTCATCCAAGCACACCTACACTCACATAATTCCTTTGAAAGATGCTTGGTTAATTTCAATGAAACTCCTGTGGTGCATCAGTGACAAGATTGTCACAACAGAACTAAGCAGTGTAAGTGCGCTTGGATAATCTCCACGAATATCATGAAAAAGACCAATGAGTATTACGCAATTGACTTGCAGCGCAGGCATACAAAAACACAGCCATAGATACTTACTATTATTTTTTATTTATTTATTTTATTTATTTATTTATTGATTTCTCAATTCACCCCTTATAGGGTATAAGAGTACAAAAGACAAACTTAACTAATACAGTTACAAACATTAAAATAACATTTATATACATGTAAGAACATTTTTTGCCCAGCCTCGATTAAAAATTTACAAAGTTTTATGAGTATATTTTTGTTTGAATTCATTAATTTCTCAAACTTCTGTGTGTTTGGTCTTGTGGTATAACATTTAGGAAGGTATCTTTTTCTAATATAACTTAAAGCTTTGCATTCTAAAATGACATGAAATTCATCACCTATTCCTTTACCACATAAATAGTTGATTTCTTAGTTTGATCTATTTTAGATTTTAAAGATATTGTTCACTCACTCTGGCCATGTCTGTTTCACCTATTGATTTGGCAGTGATACATCATCGATAACACAAGACTTATTTTAATGTTTGTTCATCTCAGGTTTATGACAAAAAAGCAATTTACAAGAAATAGCAACAAAGATAAGGTTCTAATGAAGGAATCCTTGCTAGTACCTGATTCATTATCCCCATTAACAAGGTTTACTAGGGATTAGTGAAGTCCTAGATTTGTCCTTTTGAAAAAAGCCAAAAATGATTTTTGAAAACACATAATGTTTATTGGGATTGGGGACTCTGGTTTGGTGTTCTTTTCGACTTCTTGATCTTGGTTGATTTAGCCGTGTTAATATTATGCAAAAGAAGTTTCAAAAGATTTCCCCACGAATATATACCTGGAATGATATCGGAATTAGCGGGATTATATAGATATCAGAGTTGATATCATCCCGCTAATTCCAATATGATCTTGATATTAATCCCGATCCCAAATATGTGATTCATCACTTGGTGTTATATACCTGATATTGACCATGGTATTGAAATACATGTACATTATTGCATATTGCAATCACAATATATTAGGCATTTTTTGTCAAGTTTCCCATCTATGCCAATGTGGGGGAGTCTCAAATAAAACTTTGGAATGGTGGTGCATAAGAAATAACAAAAAAAACACTGCAATAGCTCTTCTCTCATGTTGCTCTTTAGAGTTGGTGAATTCATATTGTAATACCTCCAATAATAATGTATGTTGTAATCAGTAAGGTTGAAGATTGTAGAAACTTGTGAACTGATGTTTGAGCTAAATTAAAAGTATTAAATAACACACAACTGCCAATTGTTTTAATAATTTCCAGCAGTGTAACCTAAGTCAACCTCAGTTCTACCTTCTCAGTTTTCATAATGTCTTGCCTAATTATTTCTGAACAGAACTGTTCATATTTTCTTGCCTTGTTAGATAATACTTTTTAAATTAAGTTCAGTATAATGTTCATGTATGTATTTTAATTATTCACCTTTCCTATATGTGTTGAGAAAGCCTGGCAGTGTTTTCTTGCTCCGATGTCGCTGTAACATAAGATAAAGTCGTTTTGTCACTCAGGGAGTTCATACCCATATTACCCTAGGTAATAATTAGAAACTGTATCATATGGAGATATGATGGGATTGGGTTTATTTACATATGGTATAATTAGAATCTGTATAGGGTAGCACTGTGATCTATTGATTGCTTAAGCCTTGGCTATTTTAGCAAAAAAACAATTGACATATCGCATGTAGATTTTTAGGTAACTGCACAATTGTGAAAGCGGAAATAGCATACAGCTATAGAAAACAAAACAATGAAATTCCAATTGTGCTGAATTATTTTTTGTTGGTGTTTGTAGCACCTACCCATGCCCGTAGCCAGCCTTTTGTAAGGGGTGTTCGAACCTCCCCTGCCCTCACCCAAGCGAACCCTCCCCCACCCACAAATAATTTTTTCTCCAGACAATGCTTAACCAACCCCCTCCGTAATGTAAGGGGCTGTAATAGGCAGTGGCGGATCTAGAGTCCATTTCACTGCTTCATTTCGTCAGTAGAACGGCAAAAATAAGAAATTGGGAGACCAATGTGCAATAATATATGGAAAAGTATATTAATAATGTACATGAATGCAATAAGCCTGTGCCGTCTTGTAATTTGAAGAATTTCAGTCATGTTAATCTTATTGAAGATAACATGGCAGAAAAACATCCAAATATAGGAGGCCACACACTTTATAAGCCAAACTAGAAGCAATCCAAGATATACAAATGTCATTCATGTACATTATGAATATACTTTTCCATATATTATTGCACAATGGTCTCCCAATTTCTTATTTTTGCCGTTCTACTGACGAAATGAAGCAGTGAAATGGACTCTAGAAGCTAAGTAGGGGGGACCCACATCATTTTTTCAACTTGCTTCAGTAGACCTCATAATATTGTTCAAACAAGTTGTGACATTTTGTCATGTTAATGCCTTGTAATTCAATTTAATTCACCTTAACTAGACATTCATAATCGAGAAACCATGATTTTTTAGATCCATTTGAAAAAAACATATTTCAAGATTTTCAATTTTCCAATTGTTCCGAAGTATGATTACTCATCTAAGAATATCAAATTTTCTTGGAATTTCAGTGTGTAGTTCAAAAAACATAAATCCTTATTATTACCTCGTATTGCTCAAGTACAATACGATATAAAATTTATGCTTTTCAGATAAGTGCATAGAATGACAGATTATGCCAACATCAAGCCATGAAAAAGCCAGGGGATTAGAAGTTTGTCTCTATTGACCAATATGATTTGATGCAGTGCACCATATGTTGATTCTGTAGATACAGTAAGTTGTACTTTTCACAGTTGGCCAATAATATCCATATCTATTTTTTTTGAGCACAGATTACAAAAATACTTCGGCTGAAAATGCTGGAATCGCTTTTGGTCCTAAAATGGTACAAATAAATCTTCACCAGTTTCTGGATAAAAACAATGTTGTAATCAATTGTACAATTGATCTTTGCATACCTCTAGCTCCTTTTTAACATCCTTTGATAAATGTTCCTCAAATATTGTTCCATTCGTACTGCCCCTTTAATATATTGAGCCAACCATGTGAGGAATATTAACTATGGAGATAATTAAAGTTGCTTCATATAAGGTTGATTAATCAACGGATAATTAGTTAAGATATTTAGCTCGTAAATTACTTTACTAAGATGACATATGGATGATACTGTCTCATTACATTGTGAGTGAATACACAGTTTGGACTTTTTTTACTTTTTCACTTTTTCACTTTTGGACTTTTTTCAAGTTCATGTATATAATATGCCTTGTCACAATAAAGACAATCTGAAACTGTGACATGGTTTTTCTTTTAAATACAACATAAGACTATCGAAAAATACATTTATTTACTATTGGTACCATAATATTTCTTTAAAGGCAAAACTCATCCATTACCAAATATGAGATATAAATCACACTTGAGATTGAAAAGGCTTCCCATTCAGGATATAGTTGAATGAAGCTGATATGGTTGCTAATTGTTGGTATCATAAGTGACTGGTGGCCAACTTGGGTCCCATGACATGCATGCATACGAAAACTTCCCATAATCTCCATAAATTTTGGTTAAAAGTAGAAAAACCTTATAGGCAACAAAATTATAAGAATTATCATTAATGTTACATATGTAAAAGAGGTAGAGAACAGATTAATTTTCATAATAAGCTTGTCAAGTTCCTCCAGAGTACATTTCCTTTAAATGATGTTTGAGGAAAATTAGAAACAAGATAACAGCAATGCCAAAGCATAGCAAATCCTATTTAACAGCCATGGCTGCCATTTTTACAAAATCTTTCGACTACTTTATCAGTTTTAGCCAAAATTGACCACCAGCAAAATGGTTGCTCACTGGTCAAATTGTCATAAGATTGTGTAATATACTTCTAAGTAGGCACATATAAAATTTCAACAAAATCACACACAAATATATGTAAATGGCGGCCATTTTTCAAAATGTCCACCTCCTAGCCAAAGTGTCACAGTGTGACATGCTTATGACTTTTCACATATCAAATATTAACAAAATTGGTTTATTACTTAAAAAGTTACAGCAAAATCATAAAATAATGTGTAAAGGCCACCATTTTTCAAGATGGTACCATCTGTTTCTCAAATATCTACATTTCTGGCTTTATTAAAGTCCTAACTTTTTTACATTTAAAACATATTGCTATTACAGTTTTTTTTATTGTACCTTGATAATTACTTAAAGTTCAAGAGGAAATAACTGAAGCTCTCAGTTAAAGGCATCCGCCATCCATCTATCAAACCAATCCATTTTTGCAACATCTTCTTTTCCTATTGGATTTTGCAATTGATTTACTTAAGGTAGCGCCATATAGTAGTAACGCAGATAGCATATAAAATCTGTTTTAGCTTATTCTAATACAAAGAATGAAGGTGCAGCATTCTTATTTTCTCATTATGTCTCATTAATATGATATGAAGTAATGATACTGGATATGTTTATTTACGGTGAGTCATTGTGTTCATTTCTTTTGCTTCAGGTAGAGCTCCCAGGTGTCTTACGTGAAATTCATACCAAGAATCTGAGGCTGAATTTGATTGAAGTTGTGAGCAGTTCCTTCCTTTGATTATAGCGGGTAGGTAGATTATAAGGAGGCCCCATTAGGGACCTCCTATTAATTTTGTAGATAATATTTTCAGGAGGCCCCAAGATTTCGTCAAAAATATATTGTCTAAGCTGATACCTAGGGACAAAGGAGCTTTGCTCAAGTAGATATTTTCAAGATGGCTACTGAATTTTAAAATGGCTGCCATTTTGGTAAAAGAACATAATCTTTGACAACTCAAATACCCATAAACGGATTTCATTCAAATTTTATACGCTGATGCTTAGGAACACAGGAGCTCTGCTAGAATTTTTCAACATGGTAGCTGAATTTTTGGAAAAAGAATGTAATCTTTGATTACTCAAATACCCGTAAACGGATTTCATTCAAATTTTATACGCTGATGCCTAGGATCGAACACAAGAGCTCTGCTAGAATTTTTCAACATGGTAGCTGAATTTTTGGAAAAAGAATGTAATCTTTGATAACTCAAATACCAGTTGACAGATTTTGTTCAAATTTTATATGGTGATGCCTAGGGACAAAGGAGTTTTGCTCAAGAAGACATTTTCAAGATGGCTACTAGGGATGGGACGGAACAAAAAACTTCGGAACGGAACGGTATTTTGGCCTTCGGAACATCGGAACTTCGGAACGGGACAAAATTGAATTTCAAAATAAGACTGATAACGCTACTGGACGTTATTTAAAGTGAATATGGTAATCTTTCTATCTACCTGATCATATGAAACTGAAAGTGGATTTGTTTTCATACCTAGTAAATCATCGTAACCCCCTTAAAATATTCGATCAGCTGGATCTCCATGTGCCGGGTATCTACCTTTAAAGGATCGTTCAGATCTAGTGAATTTAACCTCTCTTCTTGAGGGAGTTATTCAAAATACTCAGTAACAACTCTCGATAGATCAGATCACTGAGGCCTGCATTGATAAACCTACTGCGCAATGTGTCTGCGCAGGGAGCATCTCAAGGAATGTCAGCTACGCTGAAACTTTTGATATACGTATCTAGCAAAGGTAACTTAGGCTTGTTTTGTTGCATTTTTGATTCACCCCCTAACCCACGTGCTTCCCGATAAACATTGCCAAGGGATCAGTCAATTTGTTTAGGTTTATCATTGAAATTACTTAGTCTATCACAGAAATACCCTAAGGAGAAAATGATCAGTCTGCATTATCCAAGATGGCGATGTAAACATTCGATAAAATTAAGTTTTTAACCTCAATAAAGTGAAAAGTGGTCATGAAGATCAATAAAAAGTACCAACCACTGCTTATGGAAGAAAACAGGCAATGATTCAGAAACATTTGGAGTGAATAACCGCTAAAACCATGCTGGTCTTGAGCCCCTCGTCCCGTTACGAAAGTGCTGCCTTGTGTTCCGAGTTCCGATACCGAACCCAAATACCGCGGAACGGGACAGTTTCGGGTAACCGTCCCATCCCTAATGGCTACTGAATTTTAAAATGGCCACATTTTTTGTAACAAAACGTTATGTTTGAAAACTCAAATACCAGTAGACAGACTTTGTTAAAATTTTATATGCTGATACCTAGGGACACAGGAGCTCTGCTCAATAAGGAATTTTCAAGATCGCAACTAAATTACAAAATGGCCGCCATTTTTCGTAAAATAGCGTAATCTTTGATATTTATCAAATACCGGTTGACATATTTGGTTGAAATATAATGATTATGTCTAGAAAGGAAAGAGCTCTGCTTAAGGAGACATTTTCAAGGTCACTTAATTTCAAAATGGCTGCCATTTTTTTGTAGAAAACCATAATCTTTGATGATCAAATACCAGTAGACTGATTTGCTTCAAAATTTATACACTGATGCCTTAAGATAAAGGAGCTCTCCTCAAGATAGAAGCTGAAATGGCCACCATTTTTTGTAAAAAACATAATCTTCAATAACTCAAATACCAGTGAACAGATTTGTTTTTTTATATGCTTATACCTAGGGACAAGTAAAGGGAGCTCTGCTCAAGAAGAGATTTTCAAGATGGCCGCTATTTATCAAAACATGTTTTTGCCACTATTCCATTCATATTTAAATAAGTTGGTCATAAAATACTAGATTAATTTGGTAGCATGCAGGCGTTAGTTACATTCACGAATTAGTTTATGAAAAGGCCAAATAAGATAATGATGATTATGTTGATGAACTACTGTATACAGTGTATTCTCTGATCTGAAAAAAGCCCCTTTAGATGTCCAGACTAGAACTTTTAGGGGCGCCCGAAAACAAGATTGGGTTGATTCAGACAAATGTCAAATAAATATTTCAGTAATGATCCCTGTTCTGTTTTGGCATATAATATGCTGCATAGTAGTAAGAATAGATAAAAGGCATTTGAGGTTGGAAAAGAATTGTGAACTGCAATTGTGACATGCTGGTATATTTCCGACCTCCATTTCCATAACAACCATATCTTTGACAATTAAGATTACCATATTCTCCGTAATTAGTGCCCGATCTCTAATAAGCGCCTACCCTGCTTCACAAAGTTCAAGAAATGTCGAGGAATGAACAGCGCATGATTTCTGTGCATGACATCACATTTCTCGCTCCTTTTTAAATTTCTTGCCTTTGACACAACTTTTACACAAAAATGACGATCTATCATCAAATTAAAAAGATAAGTTAACTTTAGAACTATATCCAAGTCTCCAGTAGAAATATGGAAGATAATCCAGGAAAAAACAATTCCTTCAATTTAAGGGGCTCTGTTGGGGATATCTTCACTGTCAACATTGCCTATTTAGATTCTTGCAAGACCATTGCTTTATTTTAGCGATCTTTACCGTAATCTCTCCAATAACAATACATATCATTATTGTAAAAATATACTATTACTTACAGGGCTTGCATTAACGACGTCCCGTATATGTTAAGGACTCAAAAATAATTTGGAGGACGCAAAAATTGAAAATATTTCTGTTTTTTGGACGCAAACTTTTTTTAGGTCAATACTACAATGTGTTTACAATGATACCTAACAAAAAACAAATAATTATGATCTCTCACCTTTATTTGAATCGTAAATAAGGCTCAACATGTTGAATATTTACAATAATCATGATTCTTTCGAATTTTTTAGACTTTGTTTATTTTTAGATTTGAAACCATGACACGCCACAGTTTTTCCTATTCAGAAACAAATATTAGGTTATTCATGAAATGAAATGTATTCATTGTCGAATGAATGGACATGCATTTATTCAGTCCGTACTTAATGTTTACTTCCGTTTTAAATTCGCGGCAAGAAATCAAAAACTGAAAATATGACAAGTAAGGTTAGAACATGCATTCCCGAATGGGAAACAGAGCTCGATTGGTTACAGCCAGTTAGAAAAGAAAACTCCAATATTATTATCGGAATGAAGTTTGTCATTTGTACGCGATGTTCCAAAGGAAACAAATTCGCCCAAAAAACAGGATGTGCAGAATAAAAGTAACATTGGAAAGATGTTTTACTGACCTATTGTTGTGTTGAAGCAAAGACAATCATGTGACAAAATTAACTTCAAGGTGTTTTGGTAAAAAATGCTTTTAAAATAAAGTTATACCTCAAAACAGGCTAGAAATAGGGGACACACTTTTTTTCAAAGGACACACTTTTCTAACCTAATGCAAGCGCTGACTTATTTTGATGTTGCAAATAACACATTCATGACAAGAAATATTGCCATGCATGAAATTTACACAACATGATCAATGTAACCTGCTTGTCTTCTGATGACAGCCTGCATCCTTACTGCTGCGTTGTTCATCACCTTTGATAATGTATCTGATGGAATATACTGGATTTTTTCTTGGATGCTGACCTTAAGTTGTTCTTGGTCCCTTGGCTTGGGATTAGCATAAACACGGTCCTTCAAAAAGAAAGAGATATTTTCATAATATCATTCCACAATCTGTAGCAATTTCAGCTCAGACAATATAATCTCTTAAAATAAGGGCATTTGTATCTTTTCTTCCTGGACACCCTCTATTAGATCATGAAATATTCAATGAAAAAATGTAGAAAAATAAAACATCTAAAAAACATGTGGCTTTGTTGAAGTTTTCTAGGTTCATGAGGACTTTCTTTAACATCTCTTTAACTCTATGCTATTTACTACCACTTATTATACCAATGCAAAGGTACCTGCTAGTTCAGATTAGTCAGACTACCTTGAAAGTTAAATAAGAAAGAATAGTGAAAAATTGATGCCATTTGTTATAAAACAAAATTGGCTTACGTCCCTAGTTATGTGTTTGTTGTAGTTGCACACTCAATTTATCAGTAAATATCTGTTATTAAACATGTTATCTATACAATATCTTATCTCCTATCATACAGAGGACAATACTTTGAAACACCAGATGATTTTCATTATACATATATATATATGGCTTACACATATGTTATATATTCTGAATTATTCTTTATTATTGCTCAATAGAAGTATGAGACATCAAGTTAGTTTACAACGCAATTTGCAATGAAGTCAGGAACAGGTATGCTTAATCAGTGATTAATAAAAAATATTTGATCAGTTTTTTATGATACTGATTAGACAGGTTAATGTTTCAATTAGACTGTTAACTGTTCAAATTGGGAAGTGTCTACATTTCAAGACTTATTTAACATAGGATTCAATGTGAGAATAAGAAAAAGGTGATCATATTGGGAGGTGTTCATATTAGCAAGGTGTTTGCATATACAGATTTAACTGTATTTCCATGCAAATAAACATTTTTTCTATTTTGCCATTGCTTTGAAAATGGCAGAAATTTTGAACTATTTGAATTTATGGTGCAGGATTGTATCTTTTAATTATATCTATTTGACATTATATTCCATGTTTTTGAAAATTCAAAGAGCCACACAAATCTTGAATCGACACGTAAGTTTAGGTTTCATTGATGTTTTATAGATTGTTTTAACATTTTTGTTTTGTTTTAAAATTCATTCGTTTGGAATTGCTACTCAGGAGTCCAATTCTGAACTTTTCCGTATCGTAAATTCAGTTGTTAATTTACGGTTTTACAATAAAATCAATTTCTGAACTTTTCCGTATATTTTTAAAACGTCGTGAATTTATAATTTTTCTGTTTATTTTTAGTTCAACTATTACCTGTAGTAAATTCATGATTTTACGTAAAAAGAATATAATAGCGGAATGCAAGTACTATATTATATTACGAATGTTGATGATTTTAAACCCCTCCATGCTCGTATATAACATTCTATATATCTCCTACTATTAATGAAATAAGATGTAAATTTCTCAAGGGTGCTACTTTTTTTTTCGAGAATCCAATTGGGCAATTCTGATACGCATGAGGTTATCCCTTTGTGGAATTCGAAAGATCATTGTCCAAATCGCTCTAGTTTGCGACGACAAACACACAAGACAACTGGGACAATTTTAGGAATTAATTCAGAATCAATTTTAAACTTTTTCGATATAGTTGTCATATTGTAAATTATTTATGGCAGAAAAACGGGAAGAGTTCAAAAAATCAGACTCCTGTGGAGTTGCCCTTTTCTATTTCCTATTCTTTCTATATATGCCATATTTACCATGATGATATGAGGATAAATGTCACAATGTAGTCAGCTGTAGTAAAAAGCTATATTATAGCTTAGAAAATGAGATAATTCTATTGTTTCCCTGGAAACTGCATCTTTGTAGGGCTCCAATTGCATCTCTAAAGTTATAGTTAGTCATACTTCTTATGCAAGAACATATTATACAACTTATGCCTTTTATGATTTTCTTTATGTAAATGTATTTGTTAAAATGAACTGTCCATACTGTCTTTAATAGATAAATAAATATTGTTTTGGAATTTTTCTTGATGTATAGACTAATGACGATTCAGAATGGAACTGGTTCTTGCTTTATTAAGACACGTATTACGAAAGATTTAGGTGCAGCTATGAAAAACATGTTTAACTCACGGAGGAGGATGTAATATTAATATGGACTTATGAAACCCCACATACCTGGGCCATCATTATGTGGTAAGAGGCTGGATGCAATAGCAATATAAATGGCTGTAGATAAAATTAGCTATTTAAGGAACAGAGGTGACATTCGTTACAAAACCAGCTAAATGGCAGAAATATTGGATCGAGTCAGACGTAACATTGGATGTAACACTTCATCGTCTGATCTTAAAACAGAAGATGTCTAAAACTTGATTCTAATTAAAAGAAATGATAATCTGTTTAATTTTAGAGTAGTATGAATTATATGTTTAAGTATGCTGTGTATTGTTTATGACTACAACTTAAAGCTACATGGAAAGGAAAAGCAATGACTTCAAAAAAATATGGAAAAAGTACAGTATGTGAGCGTAAAGGTCAGGTATTACAAGATGCTGAGATTGATCATTTGTAAAGACAGCACATTTAAGAAAGATAAAGGAATATAATTGAGTTTATTTTTTACGTACAAACTTATCTAAGACTTTGGCATTGTCTTGTTTGTCTCATACTTCTACAAAAATATACAACATCAGATACTTTGCCATATGTGAGTATATGAAATGAAATTGAAGTAAAGCACCAGATACTTTACCAAATGTGAGTATTTGAAAAAAGTTTGAAGTAAAGCACCAGATACTTTGTCACATAAGAGTGTATGAAAAAAGTTTGAAGTAAAGCACCAGATACTTTGTCACATATGAGTGTATGAAAAAAGTTTGAAGTAAAGCACCAGATACTTTGTCACATAAGAGTGTATGAAAAAAGTTTGAAGTAAAGCACCAGATACTTTGTCACATATGAGTGTATGAAAAAAGTTTAGAGTAAAGCACCAGATACTTTGTCGCATAAGAGTGTATGAAAAAAGTTTGAAGTAAAGCACCAGATACTTTGTCGCATAAGAGTGTATGAAAAAAGTTTGAAGTAAAGCACCAGATACTTTGTCACATAAGAGTGTATGAAAAAAGTTTGAAGTAAAGGACCAGATACTTTGTCACATAGGAGTGTATGAAAAAAGTTTGAAGTAAAGCATCAGATACTTTGTCACATATGAGTGTATGAAAAAAGTTTGAATTAAAGCATCAGATACATTGTCACATAGGAGTGAATGAAAAAAGTTTGAATTAAAGCATCAGATACTTTGTCACATATGAGTATATTAAAAGGATCAGAAATATGAGAATGGATACAGTATTCAAAGTACCAGGTAAATTTTAAATGAATATCAGCTTTGATGGGCTATAATTTTAAGTTTTTCATTTAGATCAGAAATAGTTTGGTAGAATTATTGAATATATCAGTTTGATTTAATTTTTTCCAAGTAAACAAAATGTGAAAATTGATAAATGAATGAGTTACCAAGGTAACATTACTACAGGCCTGTCAACTGTCCCGCAATTTGCGTATTTGTCACGCATTTGCTGAAGAATTTGGAGTCACGCCAGTTTTTTTTGCGTGACAGAAAATGTCACGCAAATACGCATTTTACCTGGTAATTGTCACGCAAAAATATTTCTGTAGAAAATTTTTCAAAATATGTTGACGATACGGTAAAAATACGAACGTCGGAAAAAACCGAACGCAATTTGTTCGGATTTGTCACGCGAATCCCATATGTGTCACGCATGTTAATTGGAAATTTTCGTACCTACCCCCCCCCCCCCCCCCCCCCCCCCCCCCCCCCCCCGTTGATAGATCGCGAGCGTAGCGAGAGCGAAAAATTGAGGTGTCCAAAATTTGATTAAATGCAATAAAATTCAAAACAAGGTGCTCAAATTGTGGCCAAGATGTTCAGATTTGGACCAAGGTGTCCAAAATTTGAACAAAGGTGTTCAACATTTGCAAGTCACTCATGTTAGGTGTCCCCAAGTTGACAGGCCTGTTACTAGTAATTCTTTGTAACATAATAAACGTGTTCAAACACGTATGAGACATGTACATTTGCCCATGTATAGGAGGGACTGACATGATAAGAGTCAATTAATGATTCAATTAAAAAATATGTATTGTTGATCCCTTCATCCATACATATAATATGATACATTTTTATATAAAAAGAATTCTGAGTGATAGAAATGACCAAACAAATTCTCAATGAATTTGTTGTTTTTACTAGCTTGACGGAACATTAGCTAGGGATATCAATTGAAATGACTTATTTCTAAATGACATTATATATGACGTAGAGCTTTAATAGACACCCCAACATTCTCTTATATAGCATTTTAATTATCTGGCATAAGAGTAGTTCTGCTTCATTTGGCTTTCGTCTTTCGTAATAATAGTCTTATATTCTACAATAATAAGTCTTAAGTCTTCTGGTTTCATTATTTCCATCTGCCAACAAAGCTTAAATGTGTTGTTGGTTAAAAGTAATAGTTTTCATATACACACCGGAATAGCCTGACAACGGCAAAGTCAGATACCGTTGTCACAAATGGCGGACATAACCTTCGCTTCAATTAGATTTTCATGAACTGTATGTTTAATAGAGTACCTAGACTAAATTCCTTTGGAACAACAATCAATCAAAGTGTCTTAATACTCATTGTACAGTTAATAATGTTCTACCATCAAAATAAAGTCTTTAATTTAACCGATCAAAATGAGATACGGGACAACGGACACTGTTATTACCATATGCCGTTGTCTTTCTAAATTACTCAAATGCAGATTCCGTTGTCATTGACAATATCGAAGACTCTATATTGTAGCGATTAATGACCCAATTTTTCAAATGATATATCACAAGAGCTTAATAAATACACATAATTAGCGACGAAAAAATAGGACATAGTGATTAATTGAACAGTTGAAGCGACGGTTATGTCCGCCATTTGTGACAATGGTATCTGACTTTACCGTTGTCAGGCTATTCCGGTGTGATACAATTATTAACCAATTTTAAGAGTATGACAAACATGATTTTCATGTCATGATAATGCATTAACACTTTTATAATATATTAGTGTGTTTTACTGACATTTTTAATTCTGTATTTTAAGTCATCACCGATGTCAAGAAATATTATGACTACCATTTTTCTGAGCAGTGTTTTTTTTTTTGTTCGGTGTGAGGGACAATAACAAATAGTCCAAGTTAATTTTAATTGTTAGCAGTAGCTGTAGTGACAGTTAATTGACAGTTTATTTGACATGTTATTGGCTTGTTTTTGTTGCTTAACTATGCGTGGTTCACAGTTGTTTACTTCCTGAAGTATCTGTTCATATTATTTTAGATTGTTTGTCCTTATACATCCTTATAAGGTACAAACATGTTTACACTATACTTATTTCCTGCTTTTGAAAAGCTGTTAACTGTATCTATCAAGAAGTGGTTGTATTTTGGCATGGCCATTGTTCTCTGTGATCTGCATTTTGTGTAGTTGGTTGTCATTAACGATGGTCAGTTTTCATCCTCTGTAATATGTCATTACATTTGTATATTACCATTTGTATACCAGGTGGTTATATTTTGTCATATAACCTGTATATACTTGGTACAAATGTTCCTCACCCTTGTAATATTTGCATTTTCATAATTTGAATTAAATCTGTACTTATAGATCAGTATGAGTTTGGTGGCGACTTGAACTTTGATTTCACCAAAGTAGATCCCTCCTTATGGGGGGAGCTAGAACAATGGAGAAAGGACAACACGGGCCCAAACATAGACGCCCCGACAACAAAACAAACAACAACAATGCAACATGAAGTAGAAAAGTCTGTTAACAACCATATGAATACCATCAATATGGCTGCCCTTGGGGCACAGAAACAGCAAAAGGCAAACTTAGCAGATTACGGAGAGTAAGTGAATATTTTTTTGAAATATACTAACACCCATACATTGATCTCAACAGGGCGGGGTACAAATAGATTTCCAACAGGTAGCATGTAGTTTTGAACTTTCAAACAGGTACAGCTTTGTTGTTCTAATGCTGGAGAGAGCATTTCTTTAATTATGGAACACACGACTCTGTAATGACCAAAATTATTGCATGATACATGGGTGGTCCTTACAGAGTGTTATCATTTACGTGCAAATGAATGAGATGAGGTTCGCTTCAAATACAGATATATAAAGTTGTTCCTGGCAGAGTGGTTCCACCATCAGGTTTTATTGTACTCAGCGTTGATAGTAAGAATAATTCATTAGAATTTTTTTATTCCAAACACAATCGAATATTTCAGAACAAGTTTTGTTTCTATCACTTTCCTGTTTCCCAGTTTATCCTGTTCACACGACTGGAAAATGCTACTCACTGTACATTCACAATAAATATATTAAGAGCTTGATATATAAGGTATTGAATGCAGTGTTCGCATTGACGCCGTTTTTTCTCATTTTTACGGGAATTTCAAGAGGTCGGACGGGAAAATCAGAAATAACTTACGTCCCTGGGACGCAAAGATTCTACACCACCATCAGGTAACTTTTACTGCAGCGTAGAAGTGATAAAACATGATTTTCTGAAGAATTTTCAAATCGTCTACTTCCTTGATCTCAATAATGTTTATGTCAGCAAATCTGATTGGCTACCGGAGTGTCTCAGTATATTCGCGGGGTTTCTAGTCTGAAACACAGCATTTGATTGGCTATGGTGCCCTCCGAGTCATTCCGGAGTATACCGAAGCTGGATAATCTGTTGTACGCAAACATTAGTTTCAAAATTGAGAATTGAGACTTGTTTTTCACGATAATCTTAGTTAAGCTTACTTCCACTAGGAACCGTTAGATACCGATCTAATGTTATACATCAATATAATTATTTAATGATAGATCACGTTTTTCATCCAAAAGTCGTCAGAGTAAGGAGAAATGTTATAAAAAGAAACAAAAAGTTCACGACCTTGAAGATCGGTTGTTGGTAAAATGTGAAAACAACTCTTATTTGAGTATTTCTTTCATTCATTTGGGAGAATTTTGGTATAACATTAGTAAAGAATTGTGTGAAAAGGACCAAATGATTGATATTTATCGGGAGAATGCATAGAATTACAATATATGTCACTTTATCCCGTTTTAGCGTAAGCACTCTATTATCGCCCACTTCACTTTCACTAACAAAATATGAGGGACGCAAAAAAAATTAGACGGGACTCACATTTTTCAAATGTGTTGCGTCCCTGGGACTATTTAAATGGCTAGCGCGAACACTGCAATGATTCAAATAAAAATACACACGTATTGTATAAGCTCAAGTATAGCTCCATCACACTTGCTCTATGGCGGCCATGCGATGGCCATTATGATGCCCATAGTTACACAGAATCGATACAGAAAATCTACATTGTACTGCTTATTATCATAAAGTTGCTATAGTCAAATGTGACTGAGGCATTAGTCATTATTTTATGATGGCATTATATTTCTAGTATTTTATGAAAAATCATAGAATAATCTTCTTATTCAATGATATTTGCTTTGGAGAGGCATCAAAAGTTCGATGTCGGATCGAAATCTAGATAAATCTAGTTTTGACTTGACCCTCCCCCTAAATACTAACCTAAATACCATGAAAGTTGATCACGGACTTCCGGTTTTAGAATTTGAAAAATTATTTCTAAAAACAATTCTAGTTTTTGTTAATCCCTATCTTAATTTGCAGCTTTGAACAACTATTGATAGAATAGAATCTATTGGAATGATCCTGACGAAAAAAGCATGTAAAATCTTTATTTTTAAACCATTCCACTGAAATTTGTCGGATAGCAAACTGAAATGGCTTTGGACCAGTCCCCCTAACTGGCTTAATTAATTTTTCAACCCAACATCAAACTTTTGACGCCTATCCTTATAAGGTTTGTTAATAGTGACATAAACAACAGGGCGTTGGACATGGTGATGTCAGAATATAATATGGATTCTGTATCTCCATATGAAAACATAGGATTATTTATGCCACACTGGCTATTAGATATAAATAAAAGTATATGATTATGAGGGATATCAATTTCATCAATAAGTAGATATCAATATCAGCACTGCAAATTATATCTCATTCAAAGGTCAAATTAACACTTCTGGTGGCATTACAGTGATCTCCCCAGGATTTTTTCTGAGCAGGGGGGAATTTCAATGCTAGCTACAATGGGAAATAAAAATACATGAATTGATGAGAATAAAATCAAAACTTTCATTTTGATTTCATTGAGTACCAGTGGCACCACTCATAATGCTCATAATGATAATTCACCTGGTCTTTGGGCTTTGAACATTGATTATCATAAGTTGCCCATGTACCACATGTAATATTACAATATATCATTTATTGTATTTACAGGGGAATGGAAGAGGATGATTATACATCTGAAATACAAGATGACTCTAAGAAAGGAGGAAACAAGTAAGTGTTTCATTTCAGGATGGTGTTTCCCACTTGTCCTTTTGTCGCATCTACATTAGGTACACCCAAGCACGTGTTTTGTCTTCCTTTTCCTGAGAAAGACAGATATTCGCTTTAAACCCCAGGCACCCATGTAATGTAATACCATGCAGTGAAAATTTCTACTCAGATACACACCTAAAAACCTAGAATATGTGAGACTCTAAAATGTTATATAAATGTGCCGCCAGACACAACAGGTTTAGGATATAGTGAATGCCTCCATCTGTTCATCCATTACAGTAACTTTGTATGTACATATGTCCGATATGGCGGTAACTCAAATACTATTGGGCTGATATTGTTTATATTTTATAGGAATATGCTCAGTATGAGTGCAAGTTCTGCTCATAATGATTTTACTTTTTTTTATCTCACCACCAAAAAGTGGTGACATATTGTTACGGTCTTGTTATGGTTTTTATGGTGGTTGGCGTTCGGCAGTTCGTGAACAAATTCTTACAACTTCCAATAACTTAACAAATACTGATGAGGCAGATTTTTTTTCAAAATCATCTACAAGTTTTCACAAGTTCAAATCTGACTTTATTTTTAAGATTTGACCTTCTATGATTGTTTCAAGGTCAAAAAAGGACAAAAAGGTCTTTTTTCAACCTTCAAATTGACAATTTTTTTTTAATTATCTACAAGTTATCAGTAGTTCAAATCTGACTTAAGATTTGACCTTCAATGACCTTCTCTAGGTCAAAAAAGGTTAAAGGGTCTCTTTCCAACTTGCTTCAGAAATACAAATATAAATTATTCCTCGGATATATGAATGAAAAGTTATACTTGTAAAACACCATTAAAATATGAACTTAGTTCGATGATGGCAATAGAAGAACACAATGATAACATTTACATGGTGAAACTGTACATCATTGTATCAAAAATTGCTGATTTAAGATTAAAAATCGATAAAAGTCATATAATCATTAATAGAGGAATATTCCTCAATAGATGCGACAATGCAAGTGTCTCGTCTACCTCATCCTAGCTACGCTAGAGCCTTGTTAAGAATTCTAATCATCAAGATTTCAGTAAAGCTGCACATCAGATTTAGGCAACTTAAAGTTGAATATATGTTTAACATTCTGTGAAGGAAATAAATTTTATCTTACAAGGATAGGATAATAATGAAATTAAAAAAACTTTATTCTTTCTTTACAGTTTTTCTATAATGTTTTCTGATATATTATTTTTAAGACAGACAAAGAGAGTAACAGATGAAATAGCCCAACCTTAAAGTTGAAGTAAACTTTTTATTGATGATAACAATAAAGCTGAAGACCATTTAGTTTTTCATTCTAGAAACTGGTATCACTATAATAATGATCTCAATGCCAAATGTTCTAGTTTCAATTGTCATTTGGATCTATTAGAACTATTTAACTGAAGTTGTTTGTTTTAATAAAATGCCTTTTTCTTAGGAGTAAATGATTTAAATATATTTTGATGGCCTCATTTTAAACCACAGCTGTTATTAGGTGTCTAATGCTACAGCAGATTAATATTTCATTATCTCTTGTCACCATTTTTACCTCAAATGTTAACATTGGTGTTAAATCAGGGGTTTCATTAGCAGCAGGCAACAGGCGATTTTCACCAGTTATTTTTATTGAATCGATATAAATTATACTACATGTATTTTCAAAATTGCTGCCATTTTTGATTCGCAAAATTCACTTTCGAACCATTTAGTAGAGAATTTACTGGTTCAAAAGCTCGCTTATTTTCAAAATGGCCATCAAATTCACTTTCGAATCATTTTCTAGGTTTATAAACGATTTCAGGTGTCTTGCATAGTAAGAAATCATGTTTTGTAAAAAGTATTTTTATGAAATAATTTTGCCAAAAATTGGCAAAAATTATATACACTTTTTTATTTTCGGCCATTTTTGGGTTTTATGACCTTAGAGAGAGATTTAAGAATATTGAGTTTGGACCCTGGCTTCCATTCCACTTTGGGATTTTTCTTGTTTTAAAACTTTACAACTGATTAGTTTTGGGGCATTTTGGTGGTCAGTTTGGATTTTCAGTCATAAAATCTTCTCTGTCAAGTCTTGTCTACATGTTTTAAGCCAAACAATTAAACCAATCAATCTGAAACTTTCAGGGATGTTTCTCGGGATAAAAGTTTACAAATGCTTAGTCTTTGGACATTCTGGGTGAATTTTTAGGTGGTGATTTTGGACTTTTTGTCTAGAAAACTAGTAACACAACACCATGTGAGCCCAGTATCTACGGTGCTATTTATTTTCTGTTTACCATTTCAGAAGTTAATTGATAAATATTGTCATCACAGCAAATAGAATTAAACTGTTCATATACAATATTGCAGCTTTCTGTTATAACAACATTTACCCATGTTTTAAATTGACGAATTGGCGAGGTTTTTAAGAAAAGGGAAAGAGAAAAGGTTCTACTCAGGAGTTGACATTTTATTTCTAAGGGTTTTACATTACGTTGAGATATGTCCAATACATCATTTTTTCAACCATCTTGTTATCTATAAATCTAAATATATATTCACAACCAAACCAATCTTTCCACACCTAGTCTCGTATGATGTACATGTGTAGTTTAAATTATGCAAAGCATTATGTTATGTTCAAAAGTGTTTAGTCAATTAATTGTCTCTTCAAATCAAAATTTCACAATAATTAGATAAGTGATAGTGCTGTCAGTTCCCACTTAAACAATTAAGAAACCTTTTCCATCAACAGTTGATACTAGTACAGTACATCATCTCTTAGTGAACACCTCTCTCTAGTAACACCTCTCTCTAGTAGACACCCTTCCTCCTCACATACTCCACTGACTTCTGTATAAATTACCCTTTCTTTAGTGAAGACCTACCAAGACTGAATGTTTTTTCTTGGCAAAAAATGTTCAATATACACTGGTTTTACTGTATTTGACCACTATCACAATCTAGATTAATAAGCTTAAACTACTATACAGAATATTTTATGAAGGAAAATTTTTGGGCATATGGAACATTTCTCAATGGACCATATGAACCAGCAATAAACTACATGGACATGAATATAACTATGGCTTGTTCTTTCAGGCAAAATCACAGTGAAATTGAGAAGCGTCGACGTGACAAAATGAATGGTTACATCACTGAGCTGTCGAATATGATCCCAATGTGCAATGCCATGGACCGTAAACTAGACAAATTAACGGTTTTGCGGATGGCTGTTCAACACATGAAAAGCATACGAGGTATACTGAATATAAACCTGAACACCTTTTCATTTTCAATTTATGCATTCCCAAAGTGATATCAAAACAAAAATGTAATTTTTCTTCTCTGATTCAATTTTACAAATACCATCAATTCTTTTGCTTGCATTACAGGTGCAATTTCTCCCTTCACTGAAGTAAGTCAAAAACCTGCTTTCCTCTCGGATGATGAACTTCAACATTTAATTCTCAAGGTAAGATTTATAAATAAAAATCTTATTGCATTCTTTTTGCTCAGATTTGTTGATGGCAGGTCATTAATATCTGCCACAAATTAAGCATAAAACATAAGGAGCATTACAAATAGCACAATTATCACTGAATTCTACCATTTTAGAGTGTTCACCTTTGTAGCGGTGTAGGCCTTAAGTACCGGTCCGCTGGTCATTATCTGGTTAATTTTGAAATGGACCAGTTGATTTTTCACTAGGTATAGGGAAATAACATTGCAACTGGTCCGTAATGCCATTTTAACCAGCAGCAATGCTGTGTAGATAGTGAAGCCATCCATTCATCCATCCATTTGCTCATTCATGTGCCTGGTTCAAATTTTATGGAATTTCGCCTTATGAGCCTAAGGATCTCTGATCAACAAGGAATTTCCAGTCTGAGTACTCAATTCAAACTACCCATAATTTTTTTGATATGCAATATTTGATGAATTAGATTCCAGTAAATTGATTGGATTTAGATTTTATATGCTGATTCCTTATGAGCAAAGGACTTCTGCTCGAGAATGAAAGATTGGCACCTAATTCAAAATGGTCATCACTTAACACCAGTTATCATATTTGGTCCAAAATGTATACAGGCTAATGTCTCATAGGCACAGGATCTATCATTTACAAAGGATCTCTAATAGAGCTGTTCAATTCAAAATGGCAATGAATTTTTTCATAAAATATAATGATATGATTTTTGACAATTCAATTGATTTATTTTATCCCCATCTTAAGAGTTGATCTGCTTTCATGCTCAACATAGGAATTGATGGCTGTCATAAGAACCAATCTATTTTAATGCCTGGCATGATCATTTACATCTGATATGATCATTTATCTACTCTTCTGCCCTGATTTTGACACCGCTTTCCCAAAACTTCTCATACCCAGATATTCAAGGAATAAAAATAGAGATCAAATTGTGCCATTGTTGCTATTATTATTGCAACCTTGAAGAACCTTTATTGACAGTAATAGCTGGCCCTCGGTCCAATATTTCGCTATATTGCTCGCAGAAATGACGTTATTAGTATTATTACCACCGTTAACGACCAGGGCTGAAATAGCAAGAAAATCTTACGCACTGAACGATAACTAATTTCCTTGGGAAAATTTGCTGGTCCAGAATATATTCTAGACCGGTCCATATGGACCACCACTATGATGTCACATATTTCTCAGGTCGATATAGTAAAATGAATGCCTTCTAAATTCTAGCACTAAAACCCCTAGAACTGGCCTGGCAAGGTGGTAATAGTATCAAAATATGATATGTTATTCGCGTTGGTCCAGGTCAGTCTGCAAGGTAACACTACATCGTGGTTGCTGATTCATTGAAAAATATCTATTACCATATAAACATTATTATCCATCTACGTAATTAGAAAACTGGTCTCTCGTTACCTTTTTTTGTTTGAAATATATACACTACTTACCAATCTCAAGTTCAGATCGAAATATTAATTAGTGTAAAATCTGATCTTTCGAAGCTCTACATCCTACACACAAAGGATTGGTATCGATATGGTGAACTGAATTCAACAATGTTTTGAATGAAAACATTCTGTAAAAAAACATGGTCCTTAATATAATTTTGACTGATTGACAACAATTTAATGCGAAAATTATTTATGTATATTTTATATAACTGCTTTTGTTAACATTTTTTGTTTTTTAGTGAAATTGTTTTTTGTTCCTTTATACCAATTCTTGAGAATGAAATGAAATATCTCTCCAAAGCTTGTTGGAAGAAAATAGCACATACAACATTTTCTTAGACCTCTCAATATTATAGTTATACAAAGGAAATTTTGGTTGATTTAACAAAAAGTATTAAAAAATTAAAAGAAAAACCCCCAAAATAGATAAAAATTAAGATAATCCTTTTATTTCATTAACAAGATACTTTTTTTAAATCAACCAAACTTTCCTTTGTACAATTACAATATTGAGAGACCTAAACATGTTGTGTATATGTCATTTTGTTCCAATGATGCTCGGATAGATGTTTCATTTCTGAACATATGATACCAAGAACAAAAGAAGTGTCTGATGTGTTTTCTAAAACAATATAGAGAAAAGTGTATATATTTATTTCAAATTATAATGTTATCATTCAAAAGATAAAATTACTGGTTTCAGAGAAACGTGTGTCAAAAAGTTCACCATATAGATACCTATCCTTTAGTAATACCCTCACTTTAATATTTCATTCAGTGTAATTTCAACTATAATATATAACAGAAAGATGATAATATTGAGTGTCAAATTTCTTGCTTATAATTATTATTCTGGATTAACTTTCTAAAGTTCACCCTGAGAATTCCAGGAATCCTGTAACAAGAGCAGTGATTTAAAAAGCTAATTATGAAAATATAAATGTCAGCTAGCATTCCCAAATTCAACTCCTGGCTGTCAACTGATAGATGGCTTGACTTACAACTCATTTAAGTAGCCGCTTATAGTAAAGCCGCTCATTTGAAATAGCAAACAGATCATTAGTCTGTGTTTGCTGTTATTGTGTAGAGACAAACTATTGTACTAAGTTACATTTTGCAATAACACACAAAATTCTTGAAGAAAAAGAATTTGGAATGAAAATGTTATTTAAAAAACAGTTACAATATTTTTTTATCACAACATTTCATATTAAATAATTTCTTAAGGTTCCCCATGTTTTTGAAAGGATTGCTTCCTTCATTTTAAACTTTATTGTATTCTTTGCTGCCTCTTTAAGGATGGTCACTGTAACATTCATCAATCGACAATATTTTTCATATTAACGTATCTTTCATAGAATTTTAATATACTCGCATGATTACCTTGTGGTTTATTAGAAAAAACATTCTAGAGGATACACAAGATTCCATAATAACATGTTTTCCCTGTGAAATATACAGGGAACAGAATTGATATTCAAAAAATCCTGTATCAGATCCCGTATCAGCCAAAAGCCTGGATCAGATCCTGTATTGGACCCCATATCTGTTAAAATCCCAAATCAGGTCCCATATCAGAACTTTTTGGAATAAATAGGTTATGGATGGTTAACGTGGATTATGAATTTTTTCCTTGGGAAAATATGATATTGACAGCGAAAAATATCATATTGACACTGGGCCTATTGCCACCAGTATGATATTTTCTTTGACGAATATCATATTCTCCCTCAGAATAAAATTTGTATTCCATGAAATAAGCTCTATATATACATTATGTATACCTATTACATCTCATTTCTTTAAATCAAAATGACTACCTGATTTTGTGATTTTTCTGATTTCACCCTGTAAGTAATTGACAAATTAAGGTATTTATCATAAGATTTAAGCCTAGATTGACATCTAGACACAATTTTAATATGCAGAAAAGCTCAGATTGAGCATTTGATGATAAGGTTAGCAAATCATCCTTTGACTGTCTATTTTATCAGAATTTTGTCCAGAATTATGTTTACATTTACTATAATTAGGTGATAATTCTGATGAAATTAGATGTAATATTTTTGACTTAGAAGTGATGCTTATGAATTTGGCATGAGCTTATGAGCAGGGATTGTGTTCAAGGATGCTGTTATTACCTTAACCAAAATTGATTACATTACCTATTGGATCTATTATGAAACATGCAAAATTGGTGCCTATTGCTAGTTGGCTGCTAATAGAAAACATTTTGTATGATACATTTATGTTCTCTTTGGAGATGAGGTAATGGTAAAGGTGAATGGTCATCTCATCCCAAAGCCAACTCAACCCTCAATGAACTCATATCTTGGTCATCTCAACTTCAAGTCAACTCAACTCCCACTCAATTCAACCCTTGATTATCCCAACCCCAAGTTAACTCATATCTTGGTCATCTCAACTTCAAGTCAACTCAACTCCCAGTCAACTCAACCCTTTATTATCCCAACCCCAAGTTAACTCATCTCTTGGTCATCTCAACTTCAAGTCAACTCAACTCCCAGTCAACTCAACCCTTTATTATCCCAACCCCAAGTCAACTCATATCTTGGTCATCTCAACTTCAAGTCAACTCAACTCCCAGTCATCTCAACCCTTGATTATCCCAACCTCAAGTTAACTCATCTCTTGGTCATCTCAACTTCAAGTCAACTCCCCAACTCTCGATCAACTCAACCCTTGGTCTCAGTCCAAAGTTACCTCAATCCACAGTCAACTCAACCTTTTTCATCCCACCATTTTATTGTAATTTTGAATATTTTTAAAAGGTAAGAACTAATGGAAAGTGAGGAAAATAGAAATTTAAAATTACATTTTTAGATGTTATGAAGATTTTAAATATGATGTTGCCATTAACACCGTTTTTAGCACCCACAAGAAATATTGAGGAATGACCAAGTATTAACGAATACATCAGAAAATACGGTACTTTGGCTTAATTTTGAATATTTCATGAATATCATGAAAATCATGATTATTTCTACTGTCTATTACAAATAGGTGACAAATGTTCGACTAAGTACAAGTTTTAATATTGAATATTGACTAGCCTAATTGCTAACACTGTATCAATAATTAGCGGGAAATATAAAGAGATTACATGTCTGAATATATGTGACATTCACGGAAATGTGATGATTAGTCTATGTTGATTGATCAGTAGGCCGAAAGCTCTCCAATAAATGTGTTTTTGTCATTCTTCATATCACCTGTTTACCTATTTTTTCTCCATGAAGATGTAGGGGTCCAGCTACTTTATACAATAGATACAACTGATACAGCAAAGTTTTCAATCCTTGAATAAAGCTCTCAGTTTGGAACAAAAATATTTCGGACCAGAACACAAAAATCTTAGATTTAATATTTCAATCCTTGATTGTCATAAACACAACATACAAAACAATTTTTTCTGAATTTTGCAGTCTGTGCGGGACAAAGATATTATTTAACAGATCGGAACACAAAAATCTTACTTTTTCACATATTGTAACTAAAAATGTCACACAAATATTTTTATGAAATCTGCAAAAGCTTTGTTCCATGGCGTCGCTGCTAATAAGCGAAGTATATCTTCAAGCAATAATCTGTATCCGTATTTAAAGCAATCATGATGAATGAGTTAAACATAAAAACTAATTTCTTTGATAACAGTTGGAGTCATCATTATATCATCATCATTATATATTACCTTTATATCTACCCATATGTGAAATAATTAAATAATGCTGAAAAAGTTGATACAGTATTCTTTCAGAGTTGGCAACACATAGGCTATAGCAATGGGGCTGCTTAATTCCTTCTCCGTATAATATTCACATAAGATAAACATGTCAGATTAAGTATGCCTAACTATAATTTGTTACTATATCAGCATATTTTTAGTTTTAGTTATCAATTGTTCCTTGTTAGTGTTGGACCAATAATGATGCTTAAAATCCGCAACGTTGAAACATCTTACGTCTAACGCTGTTAGATAACCAAACATCATTGTGATAAACCCTTATATCTTTCCTTCCTAACTCACAGGTTGTGGGCTTTATGTTGACCCAAATCAAATCATTTTGAATTGAGTAAAAATTGGAGAAAAAAGAATTCAAATCGAAATTAAAGATTTAAAACATCCAAGTCACAACCCCAGTCGTCATTTCTCCAACTCAAGTCGAATCTGATCCAAATTGTTGTATTTTTCAACTATGTCTTATAATTATCTATTAATAATGTTGTTTTGTAGGCTGCTGAAGGATTTCTATTTGTTGTTAGCTGTGACAGGGGAAAATTCTTATATGCATCAGAATCTGTCAAGAATATATTATACTATAATCAGGTAAGACTTTTAAGTTCTCTCGAGAAAAGTCACACTATATGCCCATTCTAATTAGGATATTAAGAAATAAAAAAACGGATTTACCCTATTAGGTATAAGATGAACTATATTTAGTTAACAATTTTTTTGTGAAATGCCAATTGAATGTAAAATCATTTAATTTCCTTGAAGAGAGACCTCAAAAATAATAACCCTTAAGAAAAAAGCCATGGTAGCCATGATATTCCATGGTCCGTCCATGGTTATCCATGGAAATTCATGGTTTTTCATGGTATTTTCCATGTATTTTCATGGATGTCCATGGTAATCTTCCATGGATATTTACCATGATCTTCCATGGTAATGAGTGGTTTGGTAATTGGTTTTTCATGGAATGCCATGTTTGATATTAAGTGACTTGGAGTTGTAAAATCAACAATTTTGGCAGTTTTTGTATTTACCAAAATCTTCCAAATTGAATCAATGTTTAAATGAATGAATCCAAGCTGGATTGAGACTAATCATAGAGAGAAGAATATGATGTCCCCGTCAATTTTTTGAGAAAGTCAACCCCCTTGGCAAAAGCTGGCTACGGGCCTGAAATACAACCATGCACCTTATTTTCATAATTTAGATAAATGTTAAGTTCTATGATAAAGATATTTTCATAATCTAGACATGTTTACTTGGAGTTTTTAATCCTATTTGGTTTTATTTGATCAACAATGAGTTTTTGACTAGCACTGTCTACACTCACAGACAATTATAATTACTGAAGAGGAAGCACTAGAGAGAGTAAGATTATCATAAATAATAACAAAGATCATAATACATGTATTTTAGAATTATGCAAATGAACTATTATAATTTGTCGCAAAGAGATTAATTTTTCAACATTAATTTGAGAGTTAAGACACCTTATTAACATAGAACAATGACAACCAAATATTTAAAAATTATGCAAATGATTATGACTTCCTTTAAAATAGATTACATAATTATAATAACCTTAGTACATAGACTAATAGATTTTTGATCACTTAGGCATTTCATTTTAGTTGGCAGTCATCGGCTTGTGTTTAATCCCCCACCTTAATTTCAAGTCAAAATTCTAAAAAGTATATGGATTTTTCAGACAATGTGCTCATAAAGGTTAAATGAGACTTTATTTGGAAGTTCAATGTTCATTATGCATTATTCTTTTTTCTGCATCCAAAAAGACCAAACAAATAGTCATGGAAAACCATGGATTTTTCAAAAGATCAAAAGAAAAAACCATGGCTTTTGATTGCCCTTTCCAAAACATCAAAGAAATATCCATGGAAAAGCATGGCTTTTGATTGCACTTTCCAAAACATCAAAGAAATAACCATGGAAAAGCATGGCTTTCGATTGCAATCAACCGACTTCCATGGCTTTTGATTGCAGTTTCCTCAACTTCAAAGAAAGAAACCATGGTTTTTATTGCATTCTAAAATGTAAGACATGTAATTTAAGGAAAAGAGTTATTTATTTTTGAAATTATTTAATTTTAATTTTCATAACTGAATATTAAAGAAACAATAAGAAAACAAAACAGAGGTAGGGCTAGTTTGACTTAATCTTTCCAAAAGACTAGAAGTGTTTGGCCTAAAAAATAAGGAATCTCTGTCTCTGTATCTAGTTTTGATCTACACAAAAGCCCTATACATATTTCTCTTTGAAATCTTGTGGCCTACTCCGTGCTGCATTAACTGTATTATCATATTTCTTTTTAGAAAAGTTACATAATTTTTACATATTTGTAAGGAAGCTGAGTTTAATATGTTCCTGCTAAACCTAAAATAACATAAAATGTCCACCCTTTTTTCTCACTGATAAGTCTCAGTCCAACTTGGATCTCTGTGTGTCCTGGTAAAAACCATGACACATCCATGAAAAAACAATTACCAAACCACTAATTACCATGGAAAATCATGATAAATATCCATGGAAGATTACCATGGGTGTCCATGAATTTCCATGGAAAATACCATGAAAAACCATGAATTTCCATGGAAAACCATGGATTACCATGGACGTACCATGGAATACCATGGTTACCATGGCTTTTTTCTTAAGGGAACCTTCCATTACATCTTAGATTTACAACTCATTAATAAGATTTTGTTATGATAGCAGTACAAAATGTTTCTCATAAAGTGTGTTATTTAGTCTTGCAAATCATGACAGTGCTATTAAAGTATATTTTTATCAGGGTGCTATATTGTAATCAGTTTGCCGGGCGGTTGGGCGGGCGTGCAGGTGTCCGGAATAATCTTGTCTACAGGTTTCCAGCCAAACCGTTTGAGGGATTCATTTGAAATTCTCAGGGATGTTTCTACCTATGAAAGTTTAGAACTGATTAGTTTTTCGGCATTCTGGGTAAATGTTAAGACGGCCATTTTGGATTTTCCGTCCCGAAATCTTGTCTGTCAAGGCTTGTCTACAGGTTTCCAGCCAAACAGTTTGAGGGATTCATTTGAAATTCTCAGGGATGTTTCTACCTATGAAAGTTTAGAACTGGTTAGTTTTTCGGCGTTCTGGGTAAATGTTAAGGTGGCCATTTTGGATTTTCCATCCTAAAATCTTGTCTGTCAAGGCTTGTCTACAGGTTTCCACCCTTGGTATACGCAGCTAACGAAAATTGACCGGTACGGGTCAAAAGCTGGACCGGTACGGGTTAACGGTTTTATTTGAATTTAAAATAAGTATTAAAAGGATAATTTCAAAATATATAGGTCTGGGAAAGGTTTAAGGCACACTGCGTCGCTATTGACCCTATGCACGAGTGACGTCACAAATTCACATTTTTCAAGCTCAGTTCAGCTGGCCGTCTAGAAAAGCCCGGGAAAATCAAAAAATCAAATATGACGGGAAGCAAAACAACAACTGTTTCTTCTACTAGGAAATCATCTCAAATATCTAAGTTAGATCATGAAAGTCTGAATCTTAAGTACCACGTACACACATAAAATGTTAATAAGTGTTTTATCATTAGAGGTATGTGAAAAATGTCAGCAGTAAAGTCTGAAAGTGGTGATGCAAATTAGGCATTGTAGATGCCCTCCACTAAATTGTAAATACATGTACCTCCAGCCATATATTTAGCACAAATCAAACCTTTGACAAGTTACTGTTACTGTATATATTGTACATATTAGAGTCTATGAACATTATATTCCCGTCTTGTAATAATTTATTGGAACCATGAAACGTTTGAAAAAATGATGAGGTTTTCATTGATTGATAAGAGGAATAATTAAGACCAGTGTCGAAACTGTCAATTTAAGGATTCTAAAATAAATCTCTCGACTTCATAGATCCAATGTTAGGAGGACGTGAATCTATTTTCCAGGTTTGAATTAGTAAATATTCTGTATGAAGTGTAACCTCATCAGTTTATACTAGACACTGACTTTATACTGGACTTCAATGTATATTACGAATTGTGTAATTCAATCCGAAATATAACATATTTTATTAAAATGGTACAACTGATTCACATGTATTTGACAGGGCACTGGAAACAAAACCCACCTTGTCTAGAGTAGTAAGCCCAGTTGTTTCATCTGTTTGAAGGAGTGATATTGGTATTTTTGCACTAAGCATTGTGTACTTGCTCCTTACTAAACCAATAACTCTCTCAACGTGTATTCGAACAGAGGCTAATCCTCTGTTAGATTCCACCTCGTACAAACTTAATTACGATTTTCCTCTTGTGAAAGCTGGGATTTCTACTTTTGCACCATGAAGTCCAACAAGATCTTGTATGTCAAAACCACGGTCTGCAAGTATTAAGTCTCCTGGCTGAAGCTTCTCTAGAAGACCACAATTCATTCAAAACCAATTAATGTTAAAAATGGGTATTTTTCATGTAATTGAAAATAGCTAAAACTAAAATGATTTTTTCTAATTGCTTTATGTATTTTAAAATAAAATGCCTATCTAGATTCGGTCAGCATACTTATTGATCATTCCGGTTGTAAATAACTTTGATAACTCGCGAATAAGTTGTGAATTTCGTGAATTTGTTGATGTAACGGGACAACATGCCCGAGAAAACATGTCATATCTCAGTAATACATGGTCGCATCTTTTCATTTTGGTTCTGTTGGCATAGAAAACATTCAGTCAGAGTGTGATGACAGCAGTGTTTTTGCTTCTCACCTACTACCGATTATATATACCCATTATAATAAATGTAAAATTTATTCTGTGAAAAACGTCACGGTTGTTAAAACAGGCCCAGACGGCAGTAGAGAAACTCGAGATAAATAAATTGTCCATGGTTATCAAGTCTTTAGTTCAGTTTATTAGACCATTGTGTTACAAATCGTGATAATAGTTGTGATTGAATTATAATGAACATGATCTGAAAAATTCTGAAAAATCACTGTTTTGCTTGTGAAAAACGACCATGATGTTATTCATATATTGACAGTGGTCTTGTTGGAAATGGGACACATTTCAAGAAAACAATGTGTCCACTCCATCATACCATAAAAGGGTTTTCGAAATAATCAGCATTACCCCATCTATGAACTGATATTGTGCGAAACTGTGACAATCGTCACGCGTGAAAAACGCCAAGGTTATAGCATTGGACTCAAAGCAGTAATAAGCCATTTTTATAAATCCCAGATGGATTGGTTTAATGTTATATGATGACCCATATTCTTAAAACACATGTTTTACAATTATTCAGTAATTACGCACAAAGATCAACTCATAGACAAGGAAACGATAACAGCTAACGGATTTGCCCTTTTGTAAATGTGCTTTTTACATTCTATACGTCTTTACAATAAAAAGTAACATGCAAGCAAATGACAGGTTGTTTGCGAATTCCATAAGCATAGTTTATCGGAAAAGTCATAACAAAAAATGTAATATGAAGACCATTAAAGCCCAAAATAGTTGACACTCAGTAAATAACGTTTCGTTCAGTGTATTCCCGGGGATCGCTGAATTCAATCATGAAGTCCCTTAATGTTTGCATC